TTTTTGTAAAATTAAGGCTCAAGGTACCTTAATCCCAGTCAATCGGGAGTAATTAAATAATGAACAGGTGACCATGTGAATATCGATGATAGTCCTCCCCTTTGTAGTTGTCCTTATGGTCCAGGTGACTATATCTTCCATGTCAATCACTGCAGTTAAGCCAGTCTTAACCCACTAAACTTGTGGAAAGGCTGGCTATTGGCTGGGGACCAGAAATGGGGTTGGGGATGCTGGCTATTGGCTGGGGACCAGAAATGGGAGCGGGGAAGGCTGGAAGCGATAACTCGTGCGGCAACACAAAGGCAAGGGCAGACATCGCATTTTTCATGACCTCACGCTCGAGTTTTGAAATGACAGCTAAAACGGAGGCTGTGAAATGATAGAATAACGCAGGTAAAGTTGAGGGCCGTAAACCCGTTTATGGCTGTTTGTGTCTTGCTTCTTCTGTGGCTCTTCTTAGTGTTTCTACAAGGTCACAGCCCTTGAGTCATCGCCCTGCAACCTAAATGTCTCAACTAGTAACAAATGAAAAACAGTTTGAAATCATGTGACCTCTAATAACAAAAATATAAATGTCAAGAAGAAAAGCTGGAGGGACATAGTGACTATCAAAAATTATTAGGGAGTATAATTTGATAATAAATAATATGTTTTGGGGCTGGTATTTATCGTGCATTTGTGGGGGAAAACGCAGATCAAATGGGCCTATATCAGTATAGCTGCATTGATGCTGAATGCCGAACATGAATGCTGCCGCTGTTCATCAACTGACTTTCAGCCACTGACCCCCCCGATTCACCTCCCAGTTGAAAGTCTCCTGCAGGAGAGCTGGCTCCTCTGGTAATGAAGCCCCTCTCGGCCTGATGGGGGGCTGTCTTTGCACTGATCCCTTTGCCCCCAGCTGGATGCTGTGAACTCCCTGTCCAAACTCAGGGAGCTGGAATCGTGTGACGGTTGGACACGATGATGCTAATACATATTTTTGTTATCGTTTCTCAAACGAAATTCCCTAAGTGCAGTGCGGCTACAGTGTTTACTCTGAGAGAGTGAGGGGGAAGACAGTCTGCTTCCGTAGCATGCTGGTTCCTACAGTGGACCTGAAGGGCAACACATTAAATACATTTAAGAAAACACTAAAAACACTTAAGAAACACACAAAATAAGAAAAAAAAAAACATTATCGACATGCATACCCTTAATAAAATGATTGTTTCCTCAGTTATTTTTTATTGTTTTCTCAATGTTTTGTCTTTTTTTGTGTTTCTTGTTATTCTGGTGTGTTTTGACACTTCAGGGCCACCATAGTTTCAGGTGAAAGTGGCCCGTCTTGCTATTCGTGTGTGTGGTGGGTGTCGCCCCCAGCTGCCACCACGCTGATACGATGCAGCAGGGAAGGCACAGAATTTTTCAGTGGACAGGCAAGGAAAAAAATGGAATCAGAAGGACATGCATGGGACCATGTGAAGACAGTGGCTTGCCGGCGAGGCTCATTCTCCCCTGCTGACCTGCTTCGCTCTCTAACGCTTCTCCATTATCTCCTGGCCGGGTGGCAGGCACAGGGCCCCTTCTCTGGGCACGGTATAATTGCTTTGCACGGCTGGAGGCCCAGCTGGCCTCCTCGTTTCCTCACCCGTGCAAAGAGGAAGGTCCTGGAGAAGGAGAGCGGGTCCTGCCAGGGGGGGAAGGGGCGGCAGGATCCCAGAATCAAGCCCTTCCCGTCTCTCTCTCTCTTCCTTGTGGCCCCCTCATGTAGAGCCTGACACTGCGGACCCCTGGAGCTTCCGGGGCCATGAACTGACGTCGCCCCCTCTCCTGTCTCTGCTAATTACCTGTTTTTACAACCCAAACTCTCCTAATTATCCCCACACCTGTTTTCTCTGCCCGCGCTAATTAATAATTATTACAGAGAATTAATAATAACTGATTACATTTGCAAAAGTGAGCGGAGAGGATGGCTGCATCGGCGGGGGAGGTTTGGGGGGGCGTGCCCAGGGCCCATCAAGAGAAAGCAGCGCGCACACGACCAGATCCTTTTAAAAACAGATAAAGAAAAGAAACAGCGCTAGCACTCGCTAGCTCAGCTAACACGCACGGGATCATTTGGCACGCTGGCCTTTGATTGGCTTACCCTGTGGCGAGGCCGCTTCTGTGCTACAAACACATGGGGAAACAGATGGCAGAGGTGGTGTAGTGGAAAGGTTGTAGGTTCAGATCCCACTAGGGGGAACTGCTCCCGTGCTCTAAAGCAAAGGTACTTAACCTGAATGCTCCATTACATATTCATCTGTATAAAAGCATCATAAAAAAATGGTATGTAATTTCCTCTGGTAAAAGGCGTCTGCTATGAAGCTAATTAAGGTAATGTAATATTACGTCGTGTTAAACATCGCCTGTGGTTTTCCACAGGAGAGATGATGGAAGCATTATTTCATTAAAAGAAACAGAAACCATTTATATTTTAGTAGAGTTTTGGAATTTATCCATACATTTATTTCCTTGCACTGACATGCATTCTTGCAGTTTTTACACATATATCAACCACACATGCATGTTGTAAATATCCGTCAGACTGTGTGTGACCACTGTCTTGTCTTAATGTATCTATTGTATGCGTGACGACCACTGACAACCAGACACAAATTTCCTTTGTGTGTGAATATGGCCAGTAAACCTCAGTATGATTCTGATACTCAGTATCATCAGTAAAGGATGTTTATAGTCACCAATCCACCTAAATTGCATGATTCTGGACTGTCGGAGGAGCCCCATGCAAACAGGGAGCAAGCACACAAAATTAAAAAATGCAAAGATAAAGCTGGAGCAGAATTTGAACCCATAACCTCTGAGGTGTGAGGCCACAGTGCCCTTTACTGGACAGCTGATTGAGGGAAAATGCTGAAACAGCTATATCTTTTATTGAAGATACCCATGTACGGTGGACAGGCAGGCCCTGGACGTGGAAGGATGAATGAGTTGTGTGTGGTCGATGTGGAGAGGACAGGATGACGGGGACTCTCACCTCATTGTTTAGGGCGTGAAAAGCCTTGGGATTGCCGATGGTCAGCGGAAAGCCGAGCCTGGGGCGCCGCCAACACTATTCGCACTACGCCAAGAGAGCGCAGAGACACCTTTTTGACTTTGGCCATTTTCCTCACTATAGATTTTCTATAAAGCGGTGCGAGAACCATCAGATGGCAGTAAATGATGACGGCTATCGGGGCCCGTTCGCGAGTTATTCATGAGACTGGGTCTTGTCCGTCTCCTTGTGATCGAGATCGGTCACGTGAACCATAGTAGATCGTTGAAGACTCCGGCCAGTGCTGGCGGTTATGGGAAGAGACACGCTGACGCGTTACAGACGTACACGGGAACAGACAGAGTGGCGAGTCCAGTGGAAGACGCGACTCGGCGCAACTCAGCCATCCGGAGGCTGACCTCGGAATACTTGGCGGGTCGAGGGTGCTCCGAGAGGTAATCATCGGCCTCTCTTTCCACGACGGCGGACAGCTGGATTTGATGAAGTGTTTTTTTCCCCACCGTGATGTGTCACGACCGGCCGGCTCTCTATCATTTCTGGGAGTCAGGACCCCACGATGACTTCCTCCACCTCGTCCGGCACTCCATCCCCCACCATACATCATGTTATAATTTCAGCGGCGCAGTTCCGAGAAAGCACTGGAATACCACAATTTTGTGTTATTATGCCATTTACAAGAGTAACAATAAGCCATTGCGGCTCAGGCTTGAATGGATAACCCATTACTGGGTTATGATGGCTGTCGAAAGGTGGCTTCTCTGGCCGACTCTCCTTTCGGGCCGCTGCCTCGAGGCACTACGGCGGGAAGTCACTGAGACCCCACCCACCAGAAGGTGGAGACGCCTGGTCGACGTCACCCAGGTCACCCGCCACTATTGTCCAGATGACTTCCCCTAGAACTTTTCACGAGTTCATCACTTAACAACTTTATGAAAGTTGACGGCTCTTTAGGCTGGGTAGGATCTTATTTTTCACACACTGCACACGCATGGCTGGTTTGTAAAGATAAATATTAACTGTTGAATGAATTGAACATCACGAGCGATTCCATGCTCACAACCGCACTTGTGATGCTGTAACCAGATTTTAATAATGCAATATTGTTTCATCGCTGTTAAAGAATTCTCAGATTTGAATACATAAATATGCAACGTAACTTTTTAATCAAAAGCATGTTTACAATAAAAAACTGACCCGGGATGTCGCCTCATGTATATTAATGTATCGCCTTTTGTAATTTTCCTGTCAAAATATAGTCCAGTGATAATTAACAACATTCAACAAGATTATATGAAGAGACAAGTAGGAAGCATATTGGGAGAAGATACAGAATACAATGTAAATCTTGCTGAAAATTCAGATACATCTAGGTGCATCTGAATGGAAATGGATGGTTCTCTGTCAAGGCTTGACATTTTCAGCAAGAATATATTGATTAATATATTTTTTTGTTTGAGGTCTATGGATAGAAATCAATCTTCTGATCTCTTTTCCCAGCAGTATTCTGGGGGGAAAATGCAATACACTAAAAAACTAAAAACCAATGAAGCAAAACCAGTCAGCCAGTCAATATTCAAATTGACAGATCGCGAGACTGGTCTCTAGCTTCCTGTGGCGATGACCTGCAGAAATATTGCCAAAGTAGCATCGAATGCTGCACTACGGTTTAAAATGCACTGTACAATTCATAATTGCCAATTAATAATCATGACAGTGATTGATGAAACTTTTGAACCCGCAGAAGAATATTTTATAGAGGTGAAAAAGAGCAACAAGCTTTGGTAAACTACACACAAACGACAACTATGATGAGGCAGCAAGCATGGCGCAGTGGACTGCAGCGGGCAGGATGCATGCAGTCTCCCCTGACCTGCTGAAAGATTGAGGCCTGCCTGCTTTTTTTTACCGGGGGTCCCATGCGAATGTGAGGCCTGCATCGCAAGGCACTGAGGAGACCACTCACCTCTCCCTTTGTTTTTTGTAGCTGACGCTGGAAAGAAGTCCGGTAAGAGGGCAGAAAAGGAGAGAGAAACAGAAAAACAAGAGATTAGACAGGTTTTACCCCAGAGGATGGTGAATCAAAACACGATTTCGCACAGGCAGAGACGTGATGTAATCTTGCCTCCGCTGGACCCGTAATTTGAGGGTTTTGACAGGACTTTCGGAAATCTCACGGGCAAAAGAAGAGCTGCATTTTCCTCACTGCTGCACGTATACTTGTCCATTATTAGGTAATATAAACTCACTGTTCGTAATATTAAAAATCATTATTTTAAACTTCGTTCGCTCTGTTGCAAGCTGCCTGCCGTTGCAGTTTTGCATATAAATATGTTTTTATGTTAATATTTCCAGTGAAAATGGAAAAGAATCTGAAAAACAGCCAAGGTGGAAGAATTTTCTATATTAACTTTGTGGGTGTCTCATGCAAAAGAACATAAACACGAAGGTTTCGGAGTATAGTTATATTCGAATATATTTGTAGAAACAGGTGAAAATAATGCCGTCTTATTTGTAAGACACAACACATAATACACATTGACATTCATGTGGTGTTGTTTTCTAAAAGGCCGGTAATCCGAATATTCTTCACAAGTGAAAGATGCATCAATCTGCATTTTATATTGCTTTGAACACCATTTTTAGCAAACAATGCCAAATGTCCAGTTATCACCAAACAAGTCCCAATTCCAGCTATGTCTCAGTCAAGTCCATAATTAATTTGTTTGCAAAATCCTAAAACTTTTTATGTTTGTCTTTTTTACAGTAATGGGTAGTTATTCATCTCCAATACCGTTTTTGGCCCCCAAATCTAATACCATTGATAAAGTGAGACACTTTGATAAGATTCTCTTGGCTGTAAGCAGAAAAGTCCAGCCAGCACGCCAGATGAATGCTAATGGACACCTCCAACCCTGCTAGCCAGGCTTAGCGATCACAGGGACTCCTGGAGTGAGAGAAATCTCACCCCCTCCCCCAGCTCACTGACTCCTTGCTAAAACACACCGGGTGCTAATACTTGGGAGCGCTTCAGAATACTTGGGCCTTCGAAGTACTAAAATGACAGAAGAGAATTATTATCTTGAAAACAGTTACATCCCATTCAGTTTCCTCTGAAAGATATGAAAGATGCTTGGCTATTTTATTTCTTTACTGCCTTCCTTGATGCCCAAACAGAAACAGCATTATAATGCAGGCTCACCCAGACATCATATCTGACTCTCATTATTTTCTACAAAAATCGTGGTGCCCCTCCCCCCCCAACCCCAATCCCATGGCAGCCCTTAACTCCACGCAAAATGCCAGGCCCAACAGCGGCATGGAAACGGATATTCCGGCCTCTTGTTCCCATACTGTTCCCGACCGGCAATTAGCCATGTGTCTCGCCGGGAAGTCTTCTGGTCCGGGGTGCTGGGCATCGGGTCTGAATGCATGCATATTATGGTCTGGCCTATTTCTGAAATGGGGCTTGAGGTCTGGGACAGAGTCACACCAGTCGGTCCCTCTGGTGATTAGTCTAACTAGCGGTGCGGAGATCGTCACACTGTGCTCCTCTGATTACCATGCCAGATGCCAGGAGGTCCAGCCTGTCTTCTGCTGATGAGTAGACAACTTCACCCGGCAACTCTAAGCCACAAATTCAACAGTGGCTCGGTACAACATATGACCATGCATTCTGAGACACCTTAAAGTCACGCATGCTACTAAAATACCCTCCATGTCCAATGTAGCCTTTTCGGTACAATGCGCATTTGGTCGGTGGTCAGGCTTAATTAAGGACATGGCTTTGTACTGCCCGTTTCTGTGTGACACAGCTTGGTGATCCTTGTCTCGCAAGCGTGGGGGAGCTTTTTTCAAATTGTCCTTCCCCCGCCAAGAGCCGAATGACACCAAATACCGCTGTCAGCCCCCATATGTTTTCCCTGTGGCCTCGGGCCAGCGTGAGATGCGTAAATAATTCAGCCGTCCTGTATTATTAATGACATTTGAACTGTGGGTGGGGGGGGGCAGTGCCTTCATCCATTCAGAGCGACAGCATCACATATAATAAATAGAACAAAAAAATGAAATCAGCGCAGACTTTTTGAGAGTTGTGTCCTGATTTGATTTCAGTCAGCTCAGTTTGTAGATAGATCATCCCTGGCTTCCTCATCTCAGGAAGAGATCCCGTAGAGCTGGGTTTCTCTAACTTTTGGATCAAAGGTCCACATCAGATTTCTGCTCATAGTCCAGAACAATTCTCAATAACAAAACAGCTTTTCATGAACGTCACTGTATTAACAATAACTTTCCATATAGATGTCAATATATAACAAAAATGGAAACTAAATGCAAAGACTGGGGCGGATGGGTGATTATGACGAGTTATGTGTGTGCAAACTTTGGTGATTCTACATTGTATTTTTGTATATCAGACTATGTAAAGCTTCTTACCACGCAGGTCTGGATTCACCCCCGCCATAGTCAATAAGCGATTATGGAGGCAGATGGATCTCACCGAAAAACCTTTTAATTGTTCCAAAAATGAAAATATTGTAATGTATAAGTGTGATGTGACATATTTGCTTCACTTTAAATTTGTTTGTATGGAAATCCTCTGTTGTTTACAGCCCGGAGTGGGAATCAACAGTCCCATCCCAAAATCATCTCCTGTCCAGGAACCAGTCAAGTTCTCCGCCAGTACTGGATTAAAGGCTGCTGTCAGACAGGTTCATAATTACACGCTTGTTGACTAATTGATTTACTGACATCAATCCCTTGTCTACTCAGAAATGTATAAGTTGATAATCCATAAAGACAAATAATACAGCTTCATGAACCGAAATAAAGAAATAAATGAAATTCATTGTGCAGAAATGTCTTCTCGGAGATATATGACAGTAACCCCAACAATCCTGTGAAGCCTTAAATTATGAAATATAATTTTGGATACATTTTGAATTATTTAACATCTTTAGTACATCTTCGTAAACATGTCTTAAACACAGCAAATTATAGCAGATCTGTCATAAACCAGTTAAAAAGTAATGTTATGAGAGCTGCCAGCAACTGTCAGAACTTGTTATAAATTATAACTCAAACAAGCGTATCTGTTTCTTTTCAATGGCATTTTCCTTGTTAGTTTTTAATTTTTCATGCTGCTGTCTGTAACCCTTCAGCGGTGTTTCCTTTTTGAATTGTCCCAAACTTTGGGAAAATGACAAAAACAGTTTTCATGGTAGAAATATGAAAGATTTCATCAACGTTAATAGATACTAATAAAAGGAATAAACAGACTGGTTTCATATAGAATGAACAATCAAGCCAAAATGCGGTTGACGGCAACACAAACGATAAACACGACTCTTTAGCTTATTTTTCCCTGTCATGCAAAGCTATGAGAGATGAAAAGAGGAAGAGGTATCGTTGCAACATCTGCTAGCACACAAAACTAAAAGGTACGTTTATTTATAGTCTGCTAAGCTGCAAAGCGTCTGGTAATATATCACAAGGTGAGGAGGAGTCTAATCTTCCTCAGTGCTGTCTACTCTTCACTTTTGTCCTCCAATACAGCACTTTGCCAAATTTCAGAAGAGCACCCGTGTCTATAAAATACTCTCAAGCTACATCTTTCCTAGAATTTTTAAATAGGCCTGGGAACATCAATCCATCCAATTTCCAACCATGCAAGGAGTACATAGCCACAGGAGGTCGGGAGCCCATCCCGAGAAGCACAAGGCAAGAGGCACCTTGGCCTGCTAGTCAATAGCATATCAATACACAGCAACACTGCATTGATCTTTATTAGCCTACCCCGAAAGGCAGCCATCAGCATCGCGTTTGCACAAACACAGGAAGTGCCGCACAGGAGGTGAGTTATGCACAACACTGAATACACGCAGTCGACACAGACGATCCGCTGCTTGTACAGATCTGTCGACAAAGGTTACACACCTCGACCCCAGCTTGTTCAGGCGCTCACACCTCACAAGACAACGCTGGCCTTGAGGGACAGCACGGTGCGAGGCCAGGCCTCCTCAGACCTCCTGCAGAGTTACTCAATTCAATCCCAGCAGTCAGAGGCTGCAGATACCTTCGAATAACTGAAAAGGAACTGATTTCTGCAGTGACTGGCCTCCTCTGAATAACAGATGTATCTCAGGTTAATGTTTCAGGAATAATACCCTTTCCTAGTCGTGAAGGAGGTACACATAATACCCTATTAAATCCAGCAATAAAGTGGACAAGCAGCCCATCAGAAGGGTCTCTGTCAGGACAAGGCAAGCCAAGCCATAGAGTCCAGTATTATCTGCATTTCACAAGTAGTCTAATCTTCTCAAATGCGGTCTTTCTTTTTTTTTCCTGCTTTACAAGTATCATCCACCAAAACAGCACTTTAATAAAATTCAGAATCACACCAGTGTCCATAAAACACATTACATCGTTTCTGGATTTTCAGTCATATACACACACAGAGAGTGGGCACTTTGTTAGGCCTAACTACTACCAAGTAGGACCCCCATTTGCCTCCAGAACTGCTTGAAGGCTGCATTCTGAGAAGCCTATCTCCACACCACAGTTATACTGGGCTATTATTTTTGCACTTGAGGCCTTCCTGTTAGCTTTAACAAATGTGCCCATTCTCCTCTGACCTCTCTCGTTAACAAGGTGTTTTCAGCCACAGAAACGCCATTGACTGGATCTGTTTTGTTAGTCACATCATGGTGTGTATAGTCTTGACAGTGTAATGCAGGAAAATCCCAGGAAGGTGGCTGTTTCTGAGATTCTGAAACCATTACATCTGGCACCAACTGTTATATCCATCCATCCATTCATCCATCCATCCATCCATTCACCGACATCCATTTTCTATACCCACTTGTCCTATGCAGGGTCCTAGGAGTCTGGAGTCTGTCCCAGGAGCTACAGACACAAGGCAGGGAATAACCCAAGATGGGGTGGCCAACCACAGTCAGCAGTGACATCACCTTCACAATCCCTTAGATCACGTGC